TCCATCTCGGATGATCGAATTATCTCCAATCCTGCCAAGCTATCAGCAATATGGGAATACACTGGACTGCAGGTTATCGCCTCAAGTCGCCTGATCTCACGAGCGGATCTCAAGTAATACTTAGCCAGGTACATAAACAAAAGCGTCAAAGGTGTACAAGTGATAAAAAGCCACACATTTGCTACTGCTGAAAGTATGGTAGCACTGAAAAAGTATAGACACAACTGAATGGCAAAAAGGAATTCTCCTGGAAGGATATCGTCCATGCACCCAACATCTTTAGAGAAACGGTTTAAGATGCGACCTGCCGGATTAGTGTCAAAGAATAGCACTGGTGCTTTCATAACTGCTTTTGTCATCTGGTCATGGAGGTTTTCTGAAGCTTTTAGAGCAGCGAGGTAGAAACAGAACGAGGATATTAGCGTAAGAAGCAAGGAGCCCGTAACAATGGATCCGTACACCAAAAGCGTTGTGTAACTCTTCTGTTGTCCAAATGGCATCTCAGTCATCCGAGAGAGCCACCAGAAGGGCGCTATCAAGAACACTGAAATAAAAAGAAAAGTATGTGTATTATCAAGTTTTGATTTTGGACACAAAAAAATGACAAAATTCATTTACAGCGTAGGGCCAAGACTCGGAAACAAAGAGGTGCGGAAAAAAATGCTATTAACAGGACCAAAAGAACATCTAAACGACGTATCTTCCGTTAGGGACTTTGGAAGGATGGGGCGACGGCTAAGTGTTTCCAAGATTAGTTTTAAACTTAAAACAACCTCTGAATGAGATGCACGTTATTTATAAAAGGATTAAATAGGACAAAACGTTAAATTCCAGTTACACCAGCAGAGAGAAAGCTTCTTCGTTCAAAAGAGGAAAGTCCAATCGATGACAGTCCATGTACACTTTGGATGGTTCAACCACCGAACTATGGGCGTATCGCTCAGCTCTGAGATGATAGAGTCGTGCATGTGTGAGCGTAGATCTCTCTATGACTTTACTCTTGTACAGTTGTTTGGTGACTTAGAATTTCTCTTTTTCGAACAATTGAATTTGACAGCTTCCCTCTATTTATTAACATTATTGAAGTCGCTATTCCACCTTACCGCAAAACTATCAACCATTTACTCGATAAATACTGGAATTAATAGACGTAGAAAACCTTACATTTTTGAGAAATCTTTGAAAGGTATTCCCGAGTATTCCCGCTTAAAGTGGTGTGTTCAAATTTTCCAGTGCATTTTGAGATTGTCTATTTTCGTTCCAACTTCTCTCGGTAGAAGAGGCCACCCACACTGTGGTACTAGACTTTTATAACCTTGACGTGCAGAGGGAATTACATCCACTAAAAATTACTGCTTACCCTGAACAATTGCGAAGAAAACCATAAGACTGATTATCAAAATCGTTGGGAGTGCAGCTCTTAAGTATTTCCAGTACAACCACCACTTAACGGTTCCAACCATTCTGTCCTCCGCTTCATCTTCCAGATCTACCCTATCATGGTGTTCTCCAGCGGAATTCATCGATTTCAAGGTATCTTCATTGACTACCGAAAACCTCTCGTCATTGTTTTGCTGGCCATTGAAATCTTTCTTTTCTTGAGAAACAAAGCAAGAAGCGACTTGTTTGTCCTTTTCTATTCGACTGTACGTTCCTTCACAGATAACGGAGCCATTCCGCAGGACAACAATGCTGTCTGTTTCTTTCAGAAACTGTAAGTGATGAGTGACCAGAATACGCATCCGCCTGTCTAAGAACTCTTTGATGCATTTATCAAACAAATGTTTACCAACTTTGGCATCCACTGCACTGAGTGGATCATCCAATAAGTAGATGTCCGCATCTGAGTAGATTGCGCGTGCCAGACTAACTCGTGCACGCTGACCACCACTTAGGATCACTCCACGTTGTCCAATCTCAGTTAGATCACGTTTCGTGAAGCTTGCTATATCTTTCTCCAAGTCACAAACCTCGATAACCTTGTTGTACCTTTGCACGTCGAATTGGTTGCCAAAAACGATGTTGTCTCGCACAGTACCAGAATAGACCCATGGTGTTTGGGAGACGAGGGCTATTTTTCCAATACAAGAAATTTTGCCAGAGGAGATTGGGAGTTCTCCTAGGATGGTCATCAACAATGACGTTTTGCCGCTTCCAACTGGCCCTGTTATGCCCAGAAGTTGCCCATTTGCAGGACTCAATGAAACACTTTGTAACGCAGGAAGTTCTGTTGTTTGGTTCCACGAACAGGAAACGTCCTCAAGAAATATCCCTGGTTTAATGTTTTGAGATGTCTGGCCTAGTTTCGGATGAGATTTTGCTTTTTTAAAGCTCTCAGTTGTAGCAAATTCTGGTTCATACCCTTTGCCTTTGAAGGAAACTTCTGGAGAAGACGGCTTGTCCTGGTAATCCATGTTGCGTGTTAACATGGATTTCTTTTCTATTAAGTTTTGCATCCTACTGCATGCAGTTCTTGCATCGGCAATGTAGCGTAATGAATCTGCTATAAAGATCGTGACTACCATCTTTAAGTTAGTTAAAAGAGTAAGCAAAGTAAAGACTTTAAACGATGTCAGCGAAGTATCCATAAAAAGTAGAGTCGTGACTGAAATGAATCCTGCCATGGTTGAGCTAGAGAAGAACAGGGCGTAGATACTGGAGACTATGAACCCTCGGATACGAATCAGTGAGATTTCCTTTCTGTCAAAAGGAAAATTGAAACGCGTTGGGTTAGTTATACGATGTCAGAACTTTAACTGGTCTCAAAACGTTAAAAACAGGGAAGATATTTCAGTCTCAGTCCGGTCTCTCTAGTTTTAAGTAACGATAATGCCGGTCAAAGTAGTTTTTTGAGCCAGCCCGTGTTTTGCACCTTTCCGTACGCTAAATTGTGATGTGGCTTCTGCTGTTGTCTTGAAATACTATACACTGTAATAGTTGTATATTATTTTTGTAATTTATTACACCCGCTTTCAGTGTTACGTGCACAGGCGATATCTTTCGACCATCTCTCGACATTCCTTCTTTCGACATGCTATGTAAACGGCTGAAATACGGTTTACCTGTGAAACTAGCAATTTTTCCGGTTATTAGCGGAACAAATGACAATTATATGATAATTATAATTACTGACCTCAAATAAATGAAGAAGATTGTGGACTCCCGATTTACGGGATAATTCAAACGATTTTAGTGTACTCGATCGGCTCTCAATAGTGACTTCAGGTAGAATTGGGCCGCTACCGCTCAGTTAATATTCGAAAGATGGAAACATTCAAAGCAGTCGATTTATCACTCACAGAATGTTTTCTTGATCCTCCTAGCCTTAGTTTGATGTCAAATAAATCCATCTTTCATGACTAAAAGTCGAGGTCGACCGTAAAGAAGCCACTTGTGCTTACATTTTGACCAGGTTACATAGCATGTCGAAAGATGGCATGACGAGAGATAATTGATATGCACGTAACACTGAAAGCAGGTGTAATTACTGTACTGTAATTCCACTTTTGTTTGTGTGGTAAATCAAAATAAAATAAAATAAATAAATAAAAACAAATATTCACAGTAATGCGATGAAAGACGTCAGGTCACGTCTGAGTTATCGGCAATTTTAGCATTGACCAACTGGCTATAGAGTGGATATGAGATGGTTACAACCAACTTCGCGCTGCGCGCCTCTTTGCCTATGTACCATCTCATATCCAACGCGCGCTCGAGGAATAATTGTTAATTATACAATATGTCGAATAATTCTCGCAGTTTGATTGATCTTTAGTTATGATCTACTGCAGGACAGACGCATAAATGACGTCATTAACAATTGGTTTTGTTTTTTTTAAATATATAAAACAGAGACATTCCATGTTGCCGTGGGTCTCTTCAGTAAGAGATCACAGAAGACGTCAAAATATGGCAAGAACACTAGTGACACACCGGCCTATCCGCCAGTGTGCCACTTTTTCGTTCTTGCCGCATTTTGACCTCATCTAGATCTGTGACGTACGACTCCACGGACTATATTAATTAAATGGGAAACGAAGAGAGACCAATACGACTCGCAGATTTCCAGTAGACTGAACACAGCAGGGTGCCTCCTTTTTAACAATTAGATTATGAGCTCAAGATTTCTATGAGGTGATAGTTGATGAGGCCGAAGGGGCCGAATCAACTTTCACCTCCTAGATTGATCGAGAACGAATAATCTAATTGTTTTAGTAGAAATCTTCTAACTGAAATTTACTTCAAATAA